CATATGGGCCAAAAATACGTGCAATGTCTGTAATGCATAAAATAATTCCTAAAATTGCAGTTATATATGTGACATTTAATACTTTTCGAATTTGTGATCTTCTAGCTGCTGCAGTATTCGCTTCTAATATATGCAAAGGTATATCAGATTTAGATCTGTTTACGTACGCGATGTGATTTAATATCGAATGAAGTGTGAAGTCGCTACTCTGAAAGGGAACATTTACATATATTGTAAGAATAATTTGATATCGGTATTAATAAAAGATCTAAAGGTACCGTAAGTTTCGCGTCGGTTGTAGTATTTTCAGGAAGCAAATTCGTTTCAACGGTTATATCTTCGGCATCTTCTTTTCCCTTCTCGTTTTTCCAAGATAAATTTTTCTTACGCCCTTTCGAATCATCCACTTTGTCCTTACTTTTGTCCGTCATCAGAGCTGCTTTCTCGCTACAATCAGGCTGATCTGAGTCTGATTCGGACTTTTCTTGTACCTCAATTTTCTCAGGAACTATATTGCGACCGTGCGTAGGACTTCTACTCAAAGTTCTAATACTCATTTCACTGCTTCGGCGATTCAAGTTTAACGGCTTGATTTGAATCATTTCGGAATTACGCCGAAAAGAAGTGTCCGAATTCCGGCGTAGTTCAGCTTTCGAGATGATTCCGCTAATGTCCGAATTGCGCCTCGAGCCTGAACGACAACGGAAATGAATTATACACGATTCTCACGATATTTCATTGATACTATTATTTCTAAATCTACGTTTACATTCCGTTTACCTGCGGGACTCAAGTCCACAACTTTGGATAGTTTGTAATGTTCGTTCGGCGGCAACATTCTTCTGGGTGTTCTATTCCCGAAATCGCTGTTCCGTTTCAGTTTAGCCGCGAACTGAGAACTCCTGTTTTTCTCGTGCGAAAAATCAGAACACCGTCTCAGATCTTTGACACTTCCCAAAGGCGTGACGTTTTCGGAATGTCTTCTGGACATTCTGTCCGGGGATCGTCTTCGATCGATATCGGGCGAATATTTCGGACTAAAGTCAGAATTTCGGCGACACTCTGACGCAAAACCATCTTCATCGTTCATAAATCTAACGCTGCACTCCGAGTTCCTGCGAGACGATCTGGACGCGTCGCTACTTCGCCTGCTGCCTATAGAGCTTTTACGACTCGGACTGGACACCGTTATTATTGGTAAATTAGCTGCCGACGGCGTTGGTGTCGGAGGTCTGACGTACACTTCTGGCACCGTTGACACAGGTGTCGGCTTTTCAATCTGACGCAGTGGACTCTTGTAAAATTTGTCAGATTCTACTTGAAATTGCTCCTCTTTTTGAGATGGTTTCGCAAGTTGATCTGTAATATTCAAAATTATCATTTCATTCAGACGGTCTAACGAGTATTCGTGTATTCCGGTATGTTCGTTACCTTGACAACTTTTCTCCGGTTCAATGACGAATGTTGCGGGTTCTGATTCTTCTATATTTTTAACTTTAGGATTGAGTAAAGTAGGCACCAAAGCAGGAGCAACATACGACGCTAAATTATTGTAAGGCGCTAACATTGCCAATTGCATGATACCTTAAAGAATATTAACCACCTTGAATTAGATTGTAATTTAAAAATTTCTTTATAAAACGTTAAGGCTGATTTGCAAAAACAAACCTTTCTGATGGTTATTGGAATTGTCTCTTACCAACATACTACTTGGCACAGTTTCCAACCACTGAAGTATTTTATACCCGGCGTGTAAGAATGTCAGATATAGAAGAATACTCCAAATAAGAAACACAGACTGAACTACATAAATTACAACATAACAATTTGGGGAAGTGAGAGCAATGTCACTAGCAATCACGAAGAAAAAGTGTCCTGTTATGATTAAGCTTACACAAGATTCTTTTTGTATGTTTTGTGGTCCAAATTTAAGCTGAAACTTTATTAAATTGTATATTAAACTTATTTTTTATAACGTTCAAATTTGGGCATTATTAGAATTACTTGAGTTAACTGTAGGAAAGCCAACTGTATAAGACTGAAGGCAGATGTTATACAAGGGAATCCAATGTCCCATACTATGGATCCAATGATTTTTGGCATGATATCCTTAAGATTGTACGGATCTATGAAGAGGCAAGTTGCTCTTGAAGCCCCAAGTATGCATAAAAACATATTAATTGTTGACATGAAAGGCCGGCTTGATATAAGAGACCTGGAAAAAGAAACAGAATCTTCGTAACCCGTAATATATTTTTCATAAGAGGCATCTCTCTTACAGTACCTTAAATGTAGAATAGATAAAAATGTATAAAATGCAAGTACAAAAAAGAGACACGCAAAACCATATGTGTGTAAAAGAAAAATCCATTTCAGTTCTTGGTTTACAGAAACCAGTGACGGAGCGATGACTAGAAATTTTTCTAAAACTGAAGATGTTGATGAATTTGAGACACAGTTCTGTCCAGGTATCGGTGTTGATGACGTTTCATTCATACCTATTGAAAAAGGAAAAACACCGTTATCTCTTACGAACAAAAATGATTGAAAGTAGGGTGTACTTGAATGCATTGATTTTCATTCATTTCACAGATACAAAATCTAATAAATTAATTACTGAATTGATTAAATTAAATACTTATACCGATATTAAGTTACTATAATGTACAATGTAGTATGTACAGCAATTATAGAATTCATTGGTATTTATTAATATCGAGTATTATTGCTGTACATTTTTAAATTACAATAGAAAAATGCTCTGTATAATAATGCAAGGAAGAATTGTGACATAAAGAAACTGACCATGAGTCCAATTATTAGTCAGCCTATCCATAATCTCTAGATTGATGTCCACAGCACATCACTAAGGCTTATTCTGATCCTTTGGACTACGACAGACAATCGACGTTTCTTTAATTGTAACCGATCAAGTAATTGCGAGGACGAGCTTTGAAATGTGGCAGCAGCAACAGGCTTTATCTATAGTGTAGCCGGACTCGCATCCCTCCTCCGGGTGTCGCGGACACCCTCGGTCCCGTCCCTTTCTCTTACCCTCCTACTAGAAATATTGATTTTACACAAAGAGGATTGGAGGGAGAATTCAGACCATCCTAAGCTTTACGGCCGTCGATTGTTTATCTTTAGAATTTAAATAGAGCAGTACTAAATATATCGAATTAATCCGGTTTCGTTGTTTATTATTACCTTATTGTAGACACGTATATATGTATCGTCTTACCATTTAAAAGTTACAACTCTATATTTATAAAATACGATTTTTTTTTTAGACGTAAAACATTAAATTTTTTTCTCCTATCTATCTATATAAAAGTTACTTATCTTTTTTACCTCGTTCGATTTTCACATTACAAAATTAGATAAAAGTATGACTTCTTTTTTTTGAAAGCTTCAAAAATTTTCAAAAAATTTATTCGATAAACCACTATAATAATGGTAATAATAATGATTCATATTTACCTTAAAATATCACTTTTTTTAAATATATAGTGTCATTAATGAAAAATTTTTAGTACGACTAATGTTAAATGTATATTTAGATTTAGATTTATATCGTACTATTGATTCATAAATTTACAACAGCGAGGAAATGACATGACACGGTTACTGTGTTACATCTATTGAAGTACCATGACATTTCAAACATCTAATTTATTGAAGTTTCAGAGTATTGATCTGAAAGTTAAGACGACAGAACACATGTAGTATTCAAAACAGTCCAAGAAACTTCCACGTTAAATTATGAATGCTTCCAAGTTAAAAATACATTCAATACTAACTGTATACTATTAAATGTAGATGAGAGATGGCAGTAAACATTAAAAAGCACCATCCTTAATATAAATCATCCTTTATTACAATTTGATATTTACATTCTGATGTTTGTACTTGAAACTTAATTTTAAATGTTTACATATTCTATAAAAACAGTGTACTTGATAAGAATTTAATGAAGATAATAAAAAGATTGTACAATAAGCGCAAGAAAGAAAAATGAAAGTTATTTTTAGTCGATTTTTCTGTTCTATTTGCTATTATTATTGTAAATTCTATAGTTTGCAATTCATAGGTATTAATTTACTTGACATGCTCTAACTGCAATTAATTGCAAAAGCACGAATATAGGGCTCATAATTTCTGAGTATTCGAAAGTGCTTTGTCCTGTTAGTTTTTTACATAGAAGATATTTGAAAGCAAATATCAACAGTAGCGACGAAAGGCTTTGTAATGCTCTTAGAATAGCAGCCTTAATAGTTCCCTCCATATGCATTCTCATAAAAATGATTGCACAAAAATAAGTGTTTAATCCATCTGCTATAAAAAGAGGTGAAAATACTATCCACCATCCTGACTGACCTAGGAAATAATTGTCATCGAGTTTGAGGGCCAATAACATTGTAAAAATTGTCAATGAAACTAAATTTATCCATATTTCAAAAATTGTTAAGCCCAACCAATGTACTAGCTCGTTCAAGGAAAATATCATTTTGTAGACATTGAACTTACAATTATTTCACTTTCTCATTTATCATATTGTTATCTTTTGTTTATTATTTGTAATTTTATCATAATAACAGATTAAATATTCTTAAAATTTGTTTTGTTACTCTTGATACTTCAGATTACCTATTGAGAACTTTCTGAACACACGAATATGTATGGCAGAATTATTTCTATTAATTGTTTCATAATCAGCGCTATCATGAATGGGTTCAAAATCGTCTGCAATTATATAAAATATTGTTATTGTGAGAAATTCAAAATATAACATTGCCAAAAGTTAAAACTACTTATGCACCAATGATAGGTATAGTAGAAGTCTTGATGTCAAACTCGATTCCGCCGTAATGAATCTCCTTTAACTGTAAAGCTAAATTGCAAGCTCTACGCACAGCTGCACCAAGGCCATGAATGATCACTTCACAATCACCATCATTAAGAAGTTTTTCACATATCTTCAATTGTGCCTTGTATTGTGAAGAAAATATAAAAGCTAATTAAAATATTACAAACAGATCATTCACATTGGTGGGAAAAGTATAAACGTATACAATTGACCTGACCGAGTTACGAATATAATGATTTTGAAAATACTATATAATATAAAATAATAGAACGTACTATTTAACGATCAAGTTTAAATTTTCGTCACTATTGACATTGACAAAAGACAAGGTTATAATCTCGTAATAATTATTACCTTAAAATTCGTTTTATTAGTTACAAATATATCTTTGTCTCGTTTCCTCAATAGACTAAAAGGTTGTCTCTTTTTAACAGAATAGTCAGAGGGCAACAGCTTCTTACGTTTTGCTCTAAGCGCGTTTCTCTCTTTCAAAAAATCCGGACTGGTCCCTGAACACTCGTGCACGTCGGTCATTCTGACAGTTACTGTATGTGATTTCCCGTTGATTTTCTGCTTGCTATGATCTGTTCCTATTGGTAGGGATCTTTCTGTAAGCAAATTAACAAGCCAATTAAGTAAATCGTATAGAAATTAAATGGTAAAATCAATTATCGAAATCAGTTAACAACAACGATTTATAACCTCAAAAATCAGAGGCATCGATTGATGGGCGTTTAGACAACGATTTAGTGCGTTCTACCGGAAACGGTCGAGTTGCGTGCCCCTTCGTAAAATATAGAATTTCAACGAAATGAAGGAACCTGAGGTGGACCCAAAGAATATTATAAAAAGCAGGGAATTACTCTACAGGCTTATGATCAGGTTACATATTTTTCCTTCCTTCTACACATGCATATCGATTATTATTTCTTAAATATATTGGAAATAATTACTTGCACTGTTTCGACCTATATAATGCTGCTTTATGTAAAGTTGGGTTTATATAATTCTTTTAAACAGAAATTAAACAATGCTAATAGGATATATGAAATTTTTTCAGCCAATTATTTTATGATGGACATCAAACATTAGCCGTACAACTGTCAAACATAATTCAAGCAGAACCTCCGTGTCCACCATCGGATCGTTTACTTCACTTAATGTTAATTGGATTGGCCCATGAACCTGACCGTTCGAAGAAAGATACAACTAACATATCTACATTTTCATCGACTTTTGATAATACTTTGGGGCCTGGTTTAGACTTGGAATTTGAAACAGAAGCTCAAACACAAGCTCCAGAACCAGCACAATATGAGACTGCTTATGTTACATCGCACAAAGGAAATTGCAGAGCAGGAGCATTCTCTGCGGATGGTCAATTGATAGCTACCGGTTCAGTGGATGCATCTATTAAAATTCTGGATGTTGATAGAATGTTGGCCAAGTCAGCTCCGGATGAAATGGCACCCGGCGATCAGACGGGTGGTCACCCAGTTATAAGAACGTTGTACGACCATTTAGAAGAAGTTACTTGCCTAGAGTTTCATCCGAGGGAACCTATCCTTGTATCTGGCAGTAGAGATTTTTCCATAAAGCTGTTTGATTTCAGCAAAGCCAGTGTTAAAAAAGCATTTAGAACTATTACAGATGCAGATCAAATACGATGCTTATCTTTTCATCCAACTGGTGACTTCCTAGTCGTTGGAACTAATCATCCAGTTGTAAGATTATACGATGTTAACACGGCACAGTGTTTTGTCTGTAGTATACCCAACCATCAACACACTGCTGGAATAACCAGCATCAAGTACTCTCCGGACGCGAAAACGTACGCGTCCGCCGGTAAAGATGGAAGTATAAAATTATGGGACGGTGTGTCGAATCGATGTATAAACACGTTCGTGAAGGCGCACGACGGTTACGAAGTATGTTCAGTAACATTTACGAGAAACGGAAAGGTTCGTGACAAACAAACTATATACATTTTGTTTTTATTATAGAGCTAATTTAAGTATAGTATTTCAATGGAGAATTTTGTAATTTTCTATCTATGGGTTTCAGTATTTACTGTCATCGGGAAAAGATTCCCTGATAAAATTATGGGAGTTATCGACTAGCAGATGTTTGATAGCGTATACAGGTGCTGGAACTACAGGTAAAAGGCCGATCCCTAAGTATATGTAAGATATGCATAGTACAAAGTACATGTCTAGATCCTTTTATTACGTATTATGTTTATGATAATTAATTGCTACCTTTTGATAGGCAAACAAGAACACAAAGCACAAGCTATTTTTAATCACACCGAAGATTATGTAATGTTTCCCGATGAAGCAACAACATCGTTATGCGCGTGGAATTCTCGAAATGCGTCTAGGAAACAATTACTGTCCTTAGGACACAATGGTCCAGTGAGATTGATTGTGCATTCGCCAACTGCTCCCGCATTCTTGACGTGTAGTGATGATTTCAGAGCAAGATTTTGGTTTAGAAGAATGCCGACTCATTAAATCGATGTCGAGATCGAGAGGACACATATGTTGGAATTAGTTAAAACATTCGCTGTGCCGATATATACTGTTTGTGATTTCGAGTACAGACAGTGACGACTGAAAGTATCGAAACAAACAATTAGTAAACAACATAATGTATGAAAATGTGTGGAAAATTTGTACAAAAAAATCTGCTGTACAATGTTCTTCAGTGGTCAATATTCAACTAACGTGCCTTGACGTAAGGAAAGTTCTTCATTTCGGTAATTTCTCTTGAAATGATATGGAATGATATGGAATTGAATTGAAAAACTATTGATTTGAAATATTGTACATATCCGATGCATTTTACTTTAAACTAAAATAGAACAATGACATTATTTTCCTTTGAAAAACCAATTTATATTGATGTTAAGATTTAGTGATGCTCGAAACATGTATGAGGAGGAGAGATGGAATTTCTGCGTCCATTAAATGGTCGACTATAATACTTGAAATTAAACGAGTCACAACGTTTCTCTTGTTTTAAGCGTAGAGGTAAGTAATCAATGAAAAAGTATTCCGTATCGCAAAAGATACTGACGGTGAATAAACAGAGGCACGCTTTGCGTGTCGTTTTTTAATCGTGACACCGGAAATGGTGTAGCCGAACGCTTGAACGGTTCGAGGGAGAATCGAAGGATTAGCCTAGAGACGATTGAAGGGAATTAGCCGTAGCGGTGAATTTTCTCGAGCAGGCGGGAGAGGGAATGTATCGGATAAGGGAACTTTGGCGGCCTAGCGATCGAGAGTATCGGTAGGGTGTAACGTAAAGTGGTGTAAATGAAAGGATAGAATTCAAAAGATTGCTCGCGTTTACGTTGCGTCGCTACGTGTCGAATTAGCGAGTTAATCGCGAGGCGGCGCTCTGAACTCCCGCTCTACGTTTGACGATCTGTCACGTGACCCACGCTAACCGCCATCTTTGCTTATCGTATAAACAGTGCGACCGGGCTCAGCACGAATTCTTGCCGAGAAATCGCGGTTTTTCCAGTGTTTTTGAGTGATTCGATCGCGGGGAAATGTCCGATATTAAGGCGGAGAACAAGAACGATAACAATATCGAGGATGTGTCGAAGGTAAGCGGACAGGAACATGAGAAACATGTTCGTCAAGCCGAGTTTTCATGCTAAGGCGGCGTGTGCTCTCCTCGAATACGAGGAGACGCTCGTTCTCTCGAAAATTCGATATGATAACGCGTACTGCGACGGACGAACCTTGTTCGAGGAGTGATTATGCGAGATACGAGCTCGTACGATCATAGGACAATGGTGCCTTATTGCGCGTGGCCACGGACTCGGTGATTTTTCAAAGCTGCGCCGTTTGTCCTTCATTGGCAAAGATGGTGGATGTTTTTTATTTGTGACTCTTGTGACGAGGAGAGAGTTGCTGCTCAGTGGCAATAGAGTTCTAGCGAAAAAGGCGGGAAACGTGTCCCGATCGGAAGATCGTGTTCCACGCGGTTCTCCACGAAAATACGGCTTCGCTCGAGAACATCGTTCGGGGCTACGACGCCAGAAATGCGTATCGACTTGGCAAAATGGCGGGAAACTTAAACAAACTTAGCGTGTATCCCCTGTAGTTCAACGGTCCTTGATAATCTTATCGCGCGCGTAATTATCGTTTGCGTTTCTGCGTTTTTTCCCCGTAGGCAATCGTAATCCTTAAAACGATCGCGGTATCGTCTCGATTTTTTGTGCCGTCGACCACGATTTCTCGATTTCTCGATTTCTCGATTTACAATTGCGATTCGGGCCGAACCTTTGAAATTTTCATCGGCGCGTTCGCTTTTATTCGAACCGAATGAAACGCAACGATGAAATATTTCCAGGACCATTCTTCAGAAGAGAAACCTACTCCGGCGAAAAACAAACGAGGAGGCACGAAAAGACTTTCCACACTGGAAAGGACGGCTCAGGAAGGCGAACGACTTACAAAGGTACCATTCTTTTTCATTTATTTCATTTATTTCATTTATTTCATTTATTTCATTTATTTCATTTATTTCTATGTTTTTTTTATTTTTTTTCGTTCCTTTACTTGTTTACTTTTTTACCCCTTTACTCCTTTACATCGTAAGACGATGTCTTTATCGAAGATTCGGTCATGTTAAGCGTAAAAATCAAAGTTCAACCCTTTGCGTGGTTATTTCCCTCCATTTAACCTCCTTGGTGATTCCTACTGCTACGTGAGCAAGAGTACCGGGAGTGGGGATTGAAGGAGCGTCGAGGGATTGGGGGGAGTCACTTGAATCTTTGGTGGGGAGCGTTCACTACAAATACGTTACACGACCGCCAATTATGAATCGTCAACCTTTGTTTCTTAACTGATTAGCATGATCTTTATTATCATTGTTTTCATCACTGTTGTACTATTATAGTAGCGCACTGTAATATACTTATAGTATATATTAATCTACATATAACGGTATATGGACGCAAATTCGTTTAGAGTTAAATTCGGTTCTTTTCGAGAATAAAAAATCTTTTGTTTATATCGACGCAGAGCAACGATCGAATGAACGATTAAAGTGGAATCGATAATTTACTCTGTTGTTACCGTTACAGGACTTACATGTTGGAGAAGTGGAAGGAAGAAGGCGTACTCGTAGTTCAGCGCGAGGTCTGGTTTCGTCGACACCTGTACCGTCTCCACCTAAAAAGGAAAAGAGGGACACCTCAACGAAAAGTACCGGTCGTGGACGCGGGCGTCCTAAACGACAAGAGAAAAACAATGAAAACAACACAGACGAAGAAGCAGCAAATAACAAGGGAGAGAAGCATTCTGAAGAGGAATCCATGAAAATGGATGTGGATGAGAACAAGGAGGAAACAGAAAAATTAATAGACAACGAGGATAAGAATGCTACAAAAGCGGAGAGCAAAGAAACCACTGAAAAGACACAGGAATCTAATTTTAAAGAAGAAAAAATAACAGAAGAAACAGAACATTACACAGAAGATACTAAAAATACTAGTGTTAGCGAAGAGAAGAAGGAAGAAGACATAAAGGATAGCTCAGATTCGAGTCAAGATGCAACAGACACAGCAGCAGAAGCACCACCCTCGTCTTCTTCAGATTCTCAAAATCCCTCTAACACCACTACTACCGAGGAAAATAAGGAATAACCTCCTTTCGCCTGTTTACCAACTTCATGTAAGCATTCTTTTACAATTGTTTCTTTGATCGTTTATTAATGCCGCTTAAGATCTTATTAGATCAGTATAGTCGACTAGAGGAGGGTGAGAAATTTCGGTTAATGGAAAATTCGTATCACTTGACGCGTGTCTTAACTGCTCATTCGATTGCAACAACATTAACCGACACCTAATTGTCGTAGATCGAGTAGTACGATATCATGATTATTTACGATTCGTTTATCGTTAGAAAGCGCGATATCTTTGTACGATAGTTTCTCCGTGTGTATCATGATTTTTGTTCAAGAGGCGGGAAAAGAGAATACACGTGTAATATAATTTGCCTAAATCGTGGCGACAAGTGTCGAATCGTAGATCGTATAATTGAAATGTAGTTGTTACATCTCGTCTCTGTAGACGAAGGACTATGTATATAAAATATTCATTTTTACTGCAGCAGGTACCAGGGCGGCGCACACATTGGGGTTACAAATCCAGTCCCCTCGTCTATTTTAACAAATTGACACCTACTTGCCAATCGTCGTGCTGATCAGCGCACGCGAGCTTTCATTTCTCTTCTCTTACTTCGAAGATGGAGCACTGAAACGTTGTGTTTGCGATGTGGATTCGTTGCCAGATTAAATACATATTTCATTATGTATTCGATGGTATTGATTGTACCATAAAGTAATTATTTTTAATTCCGTTTTACTACGATCGAGGGGAATTCTCGTTGCACTGGTTAGTTGGCGATAGCAAGCGAGGTGTAGAGCATACGTTGTTCATGTACAATGATAATATTATTGTAAAATATATTTAATATGGACTTATATAGAGACAGGTTGTTTTCAAATCAGAGCTGAGGTCGGAGTTTACAAATATTGTCTTCAATTCAGATCTGATATGGAAGTAGCTGAAATTAATTCGTACATAGCAAATTACTGTAATACCTTATCTTATATAAATAATGACTGAATGAAGTGGAATATATGAGAATTATGGTGAAACAATTTCTCTTTTTTCATGGAATACAGAAATAAAATTTTT